CTGTCGTATTAATAAAAATATCGAAAAACGGGCTTCTTACGATTGTTAAAAAAATTCTTCTCTAAAATTTTTATAATAGGTAGTTTTGCTGTAAACCGATTCAATAAGCCGTATTACTTGAATTATCGAACTATTAGGGTATGATAAAAAAACTAATTATTACGATATCGGAATAATTAATAATCATATAAGAAAAAAATCTAAATTAAATTCCATTATAACAATTATTATGTAACAATTATTACAAATTAAATGTCATATAATAATTATATTATAATCGTTTTAATGAATAATTTATTTATTATTATTACAATAATTAAAATATGAACTACGGAATCAGAATAATTATGTAAAAAAAGAAACAAAATTAATTCAAATGTTAGAACATTTATTGTAAGTATATTGTACACAAATTACAAATATTTAATTATTACGATTTACTAACGAAATGTTTTATTATCATTTATTATTATATTAGTAACCGTACAAATAACTATAAATTATTATATAAATATTAATATATTAAATACACATAAATTCCTAAGACTCATATTTAACAAATGCGTAGATAAAATAAAATATGTATTCTTAAAAAATAAAGTATAACTACTATTAGTATGAAAAAATGTATAAGTAAGAGATTTAAATTGACATGTATAAAATGTAATTATAAATTACAAAGTAAAGTTTATTGTTTTGGTGGAGCAATGGGCACAGGACAATAACCTAAATTTATATTTTCCAAAGCTGAAATATTTTTTTTTTTTTTTTTAATACAGAATTTTATACTCGCGTATAATATTATAATAACTATTGTAATGATTAAATATTTGTTTGTACATACAAATTCATACGTCTTATTTAATAATATTGAATTTAGTAATTCACCTATTGTGTATTTAACTTTGAAATGGTTTTTATAAAAGCTTCTTTGTCGAATTTTAAATTTTTTATTTCGTCTAAATGAATGGGTTTTGGATAACGTTGATTAAGTGTAATATTGCAACATGAATCATTTAAAACACTTAAGTCTAAAGGTAGTGTTGCAAAAGACGATTCTACTGTTTTCTCTGTTATTAATACGCCTTTAGTAGCATGAGCTTGACACCCACCTTTCAGAAATAACTTGCCAGAACTTTTCAATGTAATTTTACGAATAAAAGATCGATTATTACAAATTATTGTAATTGTTGTAGGCTTTTCACACACAAAGTACCAATTATTTTTGAAAAACGATGGGTACCATAATTCTTTTTTAAATTCCGTGATATAAGTACCTATCACATTGCGTAGGTTTAGTTAAAGAATTTTTTAATATTTCTGTTACACTAGTGGGATCAGTATCACTATTGTGTAACATTTCATTGAAACCGCAAACAAAAATGTCGGCAACTATTAAATAGTTATTGATATTTGACCAAATAAAATATTTTGTCACCACATCATCTGTTAATAAATACGTTGGATTTTCAGCGATATGTATAAATTGTCCGTGTTCATTAATTGGAACGTATATTGGTATAATGTAATACAATTTGAAAATTTCGCCGGTACATAGTGGAATTTTTATTGAAAATATTATTCTATCGTTCATTGGGTGAAGGTCTATATGTAATATTTTGTATATTTCTTGTATATTAGTTTCATTAAATTTGATAGGGATTTGTAAATTTACCATAATATTAAAATAAAACAAAAAAATTTTTAAAAACACACTTTTCTAAAAGTGTGTGATGCTCTTACACTTTGACATATACTCCCAGTCACTATCTTATAAACAGGATTGAACAAAGAAGTGTATGTGAGACTTAGTTTGGCTTTAAATGTTTTGTATGATGCACCACACACTTTTAGAAAAGTTTTTTTAGAAAAGTGTGTTTTTAAAATTTTTTTTTTTTATTATTTTAATATTATGGTAAATAAAAATACCTGAAAAAAAATTGTTTTGAACAATTTACTTTACTATAATTTAAATATATCAAAGGAATATTGGTTTTTTATGTTGCAATATTGATGTATTGTATAATATTGTTATTTTTTAGGTATGTATATTGGCTTATCTGTATATAATAAAATCTATGCTATAGTGCAATAATTATTCAACTATGCAACTGTGTACCATTTATTAAAGGAATATTTATTAGTTATAGTGTCATAATTTGTATTGTTATTTAGTATTCTTTGTCATAAACAAATGCATAATAATAGTGAGATAAAACTTGAAAAGTAAAAATACCTATTAATATTCTAAAAGAATACCATTTGTTAATTTGTACTATTTTTAATTATTTTTAACACTAACAATTATTACTCATTTGCAATGTATATTATACTTGTGTATTTTTTATAATATTTGTATAAAAAGAAAATTCTTATGAATAATATATTGTGATATTCATTGATTATTATGGTATATGTTTATAATTATAAGAGAATACGAGGAGAATATTGGTTTGATAAGTTATGTATAGAAAAATCTATACTTATTGTGCTAAGAAAATAATTAAAAATTAAAACGGTGCCAATTATTTTTTATTCAAGATACTGGAAATTCTGAATGGTACCTGAACTAATTATAGACTTAAAAGTTAAATGGTTTTATTTGATGTAGGTAAAAGACAATCTGTTTTCCGAGCCATCTTCTCCATCTATTATTCAATTAGACAATGTTGAGTCTTCTGAAGCTGACTGTCAGGATTCACTATGGCCGTCTGAGTGGACATCAGCGCAATGGACAGAAAAAAAAAAAAAATAATGAAAAATTTAAAAGTGTGTGGTGCATCTACAAAACTTTTAAAGCCGAGCCAAGTCTCACATACACTTCTTTGTTCAATCCTGTTTATAAGATAGTGACTGGGAGTATATGTCAAGTGTAAGAGCACCACACACTTTTAAATTTTTCATTATTTTTTTTTTTTTACTTTTTAGTTAAAAGTAAATTTTTTTATTAAACGTTTAAAAAATATTTATGAAACAAATTTCTTATATTTAATAAAAAGAATCAAACTATTGATGATTATGATTTATTAATAAATAAATAAGTTTATTGGGTCGTGAAATGACAAGACTTTTATTTTGTTTCACACAACAAATTGAAATTTTTTTATATGAAAATTTTTTTTTTATTTTAACAACATTATTCTGTTATATGCTGTACGGCTAATTTACTGAAGTACGGCGAGTAATGGTTAGGTTAACCCGCCTTGACCCAGAGAAACCCTTCGTACCTGTACTTCCTCGGAGATGACTCGTCATCACCGACCTGGAGGTCCTTGTCCCAAAACGACAACGGATTATTGTATTGTCATCCAAGACCAAAGTCCATACCAATTTTCAGAATTTTTCATCGTCCAAAAGTGCCTCAAATCGAGCGCGCAAGATTTGATTACAGACAAACAGACGTGAAAGCGAACTTAAGAAAAGTGTGTAAAAATACCAAAAATCGAAAAACAGGTATATACCTATGCGATAGTACTACACTAGGTATGTAAACACCAACGAATGGTAATAAAAATAACAAAATATTCTCAGACAAATGAATTGTTTTCAATTAAATGTAAATCATTACTTATATCTTTGTATTTTAACAAGTACTAGTGGTTATTCATAAAAAAAAAAAAACAATAAACCTACAAAAATGTAATAACTATAGTGCATTATTAAAAAATTACTTAAAATATTTATAATAGGACGAATAGGTAAATAGGTACACAAAAGTAAATAAACACTAGGTATTTGTAAAAAAAAATTAAATGTTAAAAAAAACACGAATAATAATAATTAATGGTCATTAAAATAATAAAATGTATACAAGTCAAAGAGAAAATTGAAAATTATCTAATTCAGATTTCAGACTTGCGTTGCAATTTTCAAAAGATCGCATATAATCGTATGTACCTGCGTACCTATGTGCTTATTTTATCACATATTTCACGTTTTTTTTTAGGAAATAACTATTATTATAATACCTATAATTGAATGAATTATTTAATTTTTATGTTAATAAAAGTGTTGTGTCCACTGCCTATAATAATATAATATAGTGGCTATTGCAGTACTTATAGAAGGTACCCTACTGGCCTACTCTGGTACTATAGGGATTAGGTACCTCGATTATAATGTGTTCTAAAAAAAATTAACTATATAATTTTAAATCACTATAGGTATTCACTAACATACCAAACTTGTAATGAAAAATACTTAGACTATTCCTAATTATGAAATTTGAAAATATATTTGAATTAAAATATAGCTCGTGTTTAATCTATTTAACTGTATGAATTATGAAGGTTAAGACTTTTAGGATTTTTTTTATTAGGTTAGGTACCTACCCACCCAAAAATCTTTTACAATATTACAAACGCTTAACCTATAGATGTAGGGTGGACTTATAAATATACAAGTATTATTATTATTAATTATAATGTTTTTCTACGAACCCATATCTTATTATCTTAATGTCTTGTAATTTATACTTGTCAGATTTTTTTTGTGTTTATACTATTATTGTGTTACTTAGTCCGGTTTACTATTATAGTATTGTATAGTTTCACACAATATTTTAACATCTTTTGGTACATTTATTATATTTTATTTTATAGGTACCTATACACGCTTCGGTTTGACTAGGTATCCTTCGAAACAATATTGGTAATATTATGTTTTTATTAATAAAACAAAAAATTACAACTTACAAGTGAGAAATATTAAATGTAACATTTTTTCACTCTTAAAACTGTTTCATCTTTATCAGCATTAGATTGATGTTAGAGATGCAGTTCTGTTTTGTTTTTTGTTTTTAAAACTGGAGAAGGGGAAATAATTGTTCTTAAAATAGAGTCTGACATAAATATACTGCATTGTCGAACGTATTATAAAAGCTAAAAAGTGTTGAATCATTTCTGTTGAACAAATATTAATTATATTTGACGTTCGTTGTACTTAAATGTTGTATTAATATTAGTCCTATAAACAGTTTAATATGTGAAATTATATGAATCATGTCACAAAGTCAATTTAAGTTTGAACGTAAATCGGGCGGTGTATCAAGAAAATTAAAACAAGCAGGAAACGTATCTAAAATTCGAGAATTTGAATTGGAAAAGGTAAATATGTACTTATGTATTGTATGCCTATAGTTATCTACTGTAATGTGTAGTATCCACAACTTACTTATCTATATATATTTTATTAATTGTTTGAATGTTTAATTTAAAAATTATTATTCTCTTGCGGTTCTATAGTATTTTTTATCAAAATTAAGTCCTATTATATAAAATGTAAAATTTCCCTACCTACGGATACTCGTTATTTTAATAATATAATTAAATTATAATCCTAATGTATTGGAAGTTGTAACTAACAATGATAACATAATTATTTATTAATCAAACTATTCGGATACGTACGCAGTGAACTCAATATTATTATAATTCGTGACACATCATATCTACCATTCCACTAGCCAAAAAATTAGAGTATTTAGGAACCTACTTATATTATATTAAACTATACTGACAAAATTTAATGTCTATGCATAATGTGAATAAGAAAGTAATCGCATTTCCTAGGTTTATAGTATAAGCACATTCAACATTTTAAATCTATACAGTACCTACATAGTACATAATATAATATACAAATTACATAATAATATTATATATTAATATTAAAGTAATAGTGATTAGTGATAATGTTATCACTTTTCCTTATCATTGTTATCAATTTATGATACAATACCGAGGTAAACCCTCCGAGAAAAACCATTTAGGTACCCAAGTCCCAAATCTAAGTAGGTACGTATAGTAATAATCAAGTATGTAGTGCGTGGAATACATCCATGGCCCTCATATTACTAATAAAGTCATAAGTCATAATATCACTTAGGTAACATAAATTAAAACCACCGTCCCAGATTAGTTAGGTACTCTAACATAATATTAGAATCTAATATTTTAAACCTATACATATAGTTATAGCTATATTATACCTACAATATAAATTACCTAACTCGTATTTTATAAATCAATCAATATAAAAAAATATTTAAAAAAAGTGAAAACATAACCTATATATTATAATTATATACCTACTTATTAGTTGAGGCATTGGCATGGAAAAGGTACTAAGTCATAAAAACCAAATTTTACAGGAGAAGGAAAAAACTGTTTTTATGACCACGATGACTTACGACCAGTGCCATCTTGTGTTCAACGTAATTACTAATATTTAAAGAAATTTGAGTTAGTTCTTTTCCCTGGCCATTATCATATTATGTATTTACTACCACTGTGTTACTAATTGTTTAACGAAAAAACGAAAAATTGTTTTTTTTTGACTTAGTACCTTTTCCATGTCAACTCCTCAGTTATTTCGTCTAATGCACAACATATAACAATTGTATAATTTTATATAATATTATTACCTATATTTGTTTAAAAAAAATATTTCATTTAATTTTAATCTACTTTTAACTTTTCTAAGCTTGTTTAATTTTTAAAAATTTCCTTGAAGATTTAGAATTCAATTTTTCATCTATAAAAAGTTCTCCTTAGCGATCTTAAACGGAATTGGCCAAGTGACCTCTTTAACATTTAAAAAATAAATAAAAATAAAATCGCTTAGAATTATGAAGTAGGGTCATTGGACCACCTTCTATCACGCCGTCCAGTCCTGTATATTTATTTTGTACTCCCCTCCATATTACATATTGTATACATTTTTTACAGATTGTATACATTCTTGTTTTCTAGTAAAAAAAAAAGTTCTTATATATATTAATATTATATATTTATATATTTCTTATACCTATATATATATTATTATTCTTATATATATACATAATATATTATGTTTTAAATAATTATACTCTCGGATCACATTTATGGAAATTAATACCTACTAAGACCAGCAACGTAGACAATTTGTATATAAAAATTACCATTATGCGTAGGTATATCATAATATCTGATATCATCTCGTTTTTAGATACTATATACACACAAACTGACAAACCTAAACATATGTCTATATTTAGTATAATAATATTATATAGATATGAAAGAACACATCGCAATCAACCTATAATGATACCTATTTATTTATGCATTTATTTATTTTAGATAGATTTGGTCGAGACGTTTGATATTGTTCAAATTGTCGGCGAAGGATGGTTCGGGAAAATATTACTGGTCGAACACCGTGGCACGGATAACGAGATGGTGCTGAAATCGCTGCCCAAAAATTACACGAACGTTAAAGATTTCTATCGAGAATTCCATTTCAGTTATCACTTGAGCGCACACCGTAACATTGTGTCCACGTTCGACGTGGCCTTCCAGACGGCAAGTTTTTACGTGTTCGCCCAAGAGTACGCGCCATTGGGCGACCTCACATCCAACATATCCGACACCGGAATCGGAGAGTTGCACAGTAAAAGCGTCGCGAAACAGGTAGTTATTGCCAATCGGACAAAGCTAGGCACTAACTCAACTAGTTAGTTTTAGTTCATATTAACTTTGTAACTTAACTAGTTGAATTTAATGTGTAAAATTGTCTAATCTAACTCGTTAGAAAAAAAACTAACTAGTAATTATTATTATTTTTTTTTGATTCCAAAATTGCAAAATCTGTACCTCAATCTGACATTATGGTTATATGCCTATATATATTATTGGCTCATATATATTATTAATTATTAGTATTTATAACTTATCAATGATAAGCGATGTACCAATTAATTTACAATTAATTGAAATTATTACTTACCTAATTAGAACATTTTGATCAAATTACTAAGTAGGTGTTTAATAGTTTAATTCAATTTTTTAGTTTTAATCAATAATTTAAGTTAGATAACTTATTATTTACATTTCAACAAAAAGGGTTTTTAATCTATAAAAAAAAGCTAACTTCTAACTTCTACTCTAACTTAAGTTACTATTTTCACCAAACTAACTTCTGACTAACTAAGTTAGAAATTGAGACAGTTTCAGAAACTAACTTATATTCTAACTTAGTTAATTTTTTTATTAAAGTAACTTAACTTCAACTAGTTGAAAAAAATGACTAACTTGCCCATCTTTGCAATCGGATAGCTGAACATATGTTACTGATTGATCGCATTATCCGTGTTTATAGCCCATTTACAGGCTACAGTCTAAATACATACCGATTAATATGTATATACAGAGTGTAACATAAAGATATGACATAAATATATACTGGATATGTTCATAAACAGTTCAAAACAAATCAAAATGTTTTGAAAATTTTATCGTGTATAGAAAATGCAAATATAAACGACCAGTGAAAATTTCATGTATATACGTTGATTTGTTTTAGAGTTTAACCAAAAACAAAAATCGATTTTGTCATATTTTTCTGTTACACTCTGTATAAATGTATAATATATATGTATTACCTATGTATTTATGTATAAATATATTAATGTAAAATATGTATATGTTCAGTTGGTTTCTGCTATCCAGTATATCCACAGTTATGACCTAGTCCACAGAGACATCAAACTAGACAACATTTTAGTTTTTAAGAGTGATTTCTCGAGAATAAAACTATGTGACTTTGGTGAGACAAGAAAAAACGGCAACTGGGTAACCCGTCGAAACGAATGGATCCCTTACATGCCTCCCGAAATCCTAGCCATAGACGCCGAACACAAATACAAGTATGATACTATGATATGACACGTACCTACGTATTTATATATTTTTTTAATTAATCAAACGCACAGATTATTATTTTATTCGTGGCCTGTGCTTGTGTAAAACAATCGCGTGCATCTATTATACATTTGAACGTATTTTATTTTACGTAGGCATATAACATAATTTCGCGTGTTTTATATATATTTAGAGTAGAAACTTCACACGATGTTTGGCAGTTTGCAGTAGTGCTGTTCGTGTGTTTGACCGGGTGTTTGCCGTGGCAGAAAGCCAGTTCCGAAGACCCGAGGTTCGTTAGTTATGTTTATTGGGTGTCCAGCAACGGTATAATGAGCCCATTCAGGAGGCCTAAACTGTTCAAGATGCTGACGTCCAATGCGCAAAGAATGTTTCGAAAGTTCCTACAACCCAATGTACAGACCAGGCCTAGTGTCTTGGACGAAGTGCAAAATTTTATTGACGAACGGTGGCTATCAAAATACATGTTAGACAAAAGTAAAGGTAATATTACATTGTTTCTTATTCCATGGTGAACGCTCTTTATTTAGATGGATTGTTTTGTAATTTATATATGTTTAAGTGGGTACTATACTACTATATTGAGTATAGTAAACAAGGTGTAACAGAAAGACTAGACAAGTGAAATAACTTTTGTTCTAATCAATACTTAAAATTTTTAATTTTAAATACAGAAAATCAAAAAAACAAAAAATTGTATCAAATTTTTGTTGGAAAAATTCAAAACAGCCGATTTGTAAAGATAATTTTCAGAAAAATGTTGATGCTAAAAATTATTTTTGACCAGTCGTTAGTTTCACAGTTTTAATTTTTTTAGAATTATAATCAACCTGAAACGTAATAACTTTGTTCAAAATATTCTCTTTGGGAATTTCCTGACATGAAGTAAATTTTTTAAATTATTTACTATCCATACATTATCACAATTTTTGTCATGCGTTTATCATTTATTTTTTTATTTTTTATGTTTTTTTGTTGCACCTATATAAGCCCAATTACTCTACATAATTATCATAATTCATATCTAACTTTTTAATAAACTAATATGTAGCAAGTATTGTGCAGGGGTAAGTATTATGCAAATGGTTCACCGCCATGTGATACCACAACGAAAAGAAAAAAAAAAGAAAAAAAAATACTAATTATAAGGTAATATACCTACCTCTTATTATAGTAAAACATAATTTTTGTTTTTGTAATACCTATATATTATACCTTATTATTACTTTTATATATAAAATATTATACTTTCAAAATGGTTTACTTAAGCCTAATTACTTAGACCTATATTTGTATCTATTTATTTTTGTTATGCTGTTATGGAACTAATAACAATATTAAAGTAAATTCTCCATCCTGCCATGAAGTGCTATTAATGAATAGTCTCTTCAACAAGTCAACCATGTCCAATTACCAATATTATCATTATCTCCATTGTACTTATTGTAAATATTTTTTTTATACAGATTGTACAAATAAAAACAAATATGACAAAAAAAAAAAGTAAATTCTATTTCACTTTCAAAAATGCCAGCTTCTTCTTCAAAGAAGAATGGTATTAAGAATTTTGTATGGTGTTCAAAATGTATCTTAACTTTTCCGTTAACCGGAATAAAAATTCTGATTTACAGCAGTATATTATCAGGTATGCAAATGCAATCTACCTGCGGTTAGTTTCGTAAAAACCTTCTCCTGGCAATTACGTAGACCTTATAAAAAATTTGAGCCAAATCGGACCAGCCGTTCTCGATTGATGAGGTATATAACGACATTTGTATATATATAACATAGTTTATAGGTAGAGATAGTATACAATAAAAATTGATTATCAAAAAATCAAAAATATATTTGACTGTATAATAATAGCCAAATAATTAATTTAAATGTTTTTTAAATTTAGTACCTATATAACAAATTTAAGTTAATATTATAGGTGCTTAAAGAAATTAAGTATATAACAAAGAATATAGTATTAAGTATACAACAAGAATATTTATTTATTTGAGAACATGATTGCATTATACTATATTATACTGTATTATATTATCAATATAAGCTGGTATTACATACGTAATGTTATAACATAAAATAACAAATACAATTTACAAATATATACTAATTACTAACCATCATTGATGTTGATGATTATGATTTTCTTTATAAACTTATAAGACTACCTACTCTGTTGTAGTTTTGCTATGTAGTAATGCTATGGCTACATATTTATTTTTATCTATTGGCACTGTGAGGCATTTATATTTTAAACAATCTAAATTAATTAATTGGGGTTGAGGTTCAGGGATAATGACATCAATGTAAAATATTTTTATTAAATCTGATGATATTGGATTGTCAAAAAATGACGAACATTTAAATTTGGTTACTTTAAAATATTTTATTATTTTATTTACTTTAATTATATCATATTTTTGAATAATAAAATACTTATCTTTCACATGTTTTGAACTCAGAATAAATTGTTCTAAAACAATTTGCTCGTATAAAATATTTGTTATTGAATTATTTAATATTTTATCATATGGCAGGTAATTCATGTTTAAGGATAGGGTAACTAAAAGTGATATTGTTAGTTTTAGCATTGATTTGTTCTATAATGCAATTATAAACATCTTGTAGAGGATATCTAGAATTTTTACTACTTTTTTTTTATAAACTGTAAATAATTTTCAAATTTGAATGCACTGAATGCATCTAAGGCGCCATGAATTAAAACGAAATCGCATACATGTATTAAACCATGAACATTGTAACCAACATATTCTTCACCGTAATGTGAAGAATATTCAGTTACAAACTGCTTCAATAAATCTCTTGCTACATTATTATATGCATGACAAGTTTCAGGAGAAATTAGTAATCTTACAGCACAACTCAAAAGCATAAAATGTTTATAAAGTGATTTTCTTAATCGGCATTTTAATACAATTGGGCCTATATAAAGCAAACAATTTCTGAATTCTGTTGCTTTCCAATATTCTACTTCTTCTAATGTTCTGGATATACGTTTATACTCGGATGGTAAATATGATTTAATATTATCTAATTCATGAGATATGTCATCAGGATTTACTAACCTCACAGGTTTTTTACCTTTAGTCCAAAAACAATTAATTTTTTCATCACCCCGAAACAAATGTTATGCATATATTCAAGAACTACAGAAGAAGTAATATTTATGGGCAATTCTTCCAGCGGACTTGAATCTTTATGATAGAACTCATCGCATTTATTTCGAAATGTTTCATTCGTTCTTAATGGTGCATTAATGTCTAGAAAAGCCATTCGATTATTTAAAAATGTTCCTTCTACTATACATGAATTACATCCATGATATGCATTGAAATTTTTAACATTCAATACAAAACTCTTTGCAGGAGCATCACACACAATTTGAGACACTTCAAATTTGAATATCTTATTGTTAATAGATAAACCGTTATTTAAAATTGTATTCATTTCAGTTATAAATGGATTCAAAAACTCATGGCTGGAAGAAGGTTTTTTAAATTTACCATGATAAATCCCTACTGGTATTACAGTGTTTAACAACTTTGGTAAATTTATAAAAGATATAAGTATAGGCCAAAAACTAGATTTTGAGCTGGAAGTTAAGGGTAAGCCATCAATATTAACACTTAATTGTATTGTAATATTGTTATCAATATCACAAAGATATAAAGACAAAATTTTAGAAATCATATACTCAACACCAAGATGTATATATGAGCCTGGATGAATACTAATAATTTTGTGATCACCCGTTTTAGGAGTGTTAATAAGAGTTCTTGCGTCTTTTGGAAGTTTTAATCCTTCCGATCTTAGTATTGACAAAAGGGCATTTACACAATTATGAGAGACATGAAAATCTAACACCCATTTTTTTAACTTTTCATACAGAGAATTACTATTATCATTAATCAAAGTAGTATGATCAATAATTGTGTTACTGTTCATTCCATTATTCATCCAAGAAGTGGCTGAAAGATTAACTGAAGGCGCTGTAGATGAGGTAGTTGGTGTTAAAAACATATTTGATTCACATTGATTTACTTTTATTGATGAACTTGGTAGGTCATCATGAACTCTTTGATCGACTGAGGAAAGTTGTTTTGATATAATATCATCTTGTACACGTCTTAAAAATTGTTTTTTTTTTCCAATAGACTGAATAGGTTTTCTTTTTCTTGTACCCTTTAAATCAATTACAAATTACTAAAAAAAATACTAAATTCAAGCTAAAGGAATTATGATAAAAATTGTTTATTTTTAGTTTAAAATGTTAATGTTATAAAATGAATGTAATAAAATTATTAACAAATGGCTGAGTAAATTTTAAAATAAGCATTAAAAATAAAATAAGTCTAAGGATCAAAACAAGTATGTTTGCCCAACCAAAATAGACTAAGTGAATAGGAAAATTATTACAAATTTATATGTATACCTAATTTGGGTATTTACAAAATAAAAAATAAAAGATAAATATGATTAATTTTTGTTCTTTTCTCGGCTGTAACGTTGCGATCCATGCCGAAACCAATCTTTGACATGTGCTTCGAAGTTGGATTCAGTTGAAGAAAATGTGTTCATAGCTATGCCTGAATAAAAATAATAAAAATAGGTATTAATACATGTAATAGATAGGTACTGCAGATTTAAATGAAAAAAAAAATTATAAAATAAAAACTACCTTTCATTATTTGAATAGTCTTGAGTGTTTGAAGTTGAGCATGTTGTCTGAAGCCGGTCCAGAAATATTTAGTAGCTAACTCATTTGTAAAAAATCTTTGCAATGATCTCTTGATGAAATTTTTAGAGCTTGTACCGCCAATTCTTTGTATCACAGTTCGCTACAACAATATTTAAAAACTATTTAATTTTGTAAAATAACAGATATAAATATTTAGTTTAATTTAATTTAATTGACAGTAAATTACCATTTGATTTTCAAAATTTTCATCTGTAGTAAATTTTCTTTCTATTTCTTCGACATCAAAAACAGTTTTCATAGGAAATAGAGTCCAAATATATTCATCAATAGCTGTATTACCCATACGACCTGTGCCACTCAATAATGCTTCTATTAATTCTAATTTACCTTCAATTCTTTTCACATATGCAAGGGTTTTAATTATGTTTTCATACATAATTGTACTAATTTCATCTTGATTTTTTGAGACATTTAATTCATGATTTGGCAAAGATGAACTTGATTTTTCTCCAACAGAATTATTATTATCATTATTCATAGACGTTACAGTATGTATAGAAGTGGGAATCACTATGAACATACATAAATATCCGCATAAAGAAAAAAAAATGTTTTAATTATACTAAATAATTACTTGACGATGGAGTCACAAGTTCATAACTGAAGTCCTGTCCATCCAAATCAAATATCACATTTAATGCAGCTGTAATAGAAATAATGTAAGTCACAAACTATTGTTATTTAATAATTTAAATTAATGATTAAATACCCTATTAAATACACACAAGATATTGAGTTAATTCTTATACCATCAGACTCATCTTCGGCAGCTGTATCTAAATTTTTAATATTTTTTCTATTTTTTGTTTTAGTTAAAGTCATAGACGAAGATGATTCATTTTTCATTATTTTTAATGGTGTTTCTTGAGTGCTGCTGCATGCTAAATTCATAACAAAAATACATGCATATAAAAAAACCAGATTTAATCATAACTGATTTGCAATATTTAACACAGGTTTGTACCATCACAGGACACCCCTTAAGTGGTACAACAATTTTCATTAATTTGAAAATATACTAAGTATATTTTAAGATTCCAAAAATCAGATTTGGAATAACTCTATTATTAAGGAATAAAGGGGGGAGCATGATTGGGTAATTACCCTGTACAATAGGTTTAATTATCTTACTATCACTATCTTCATGTACTTCAGGAACATATTTTTTTCTCTTTTTTTTAATTGTTTTCACATGAATTTCTGATTCAGATGCGGATGATGCTGATATGAAAATGTTCTTTGCTTTAGTTGCAGCTTCATCATAATTGGCTAATTTTTAAATAAAATAGGTAGTTATTAATTTAAATAATATTATGTAAAAACAATTTGAATAAAAATTAATAATTACACATATACCTAAATCAGTAAGCTATATTAAATCTCAGTATGCTATTTTTAAATATTGTGTTAAAAATAAATCGTAAGGTTATATGTTATATTACCTACCTATATATTATATAATACACTGACGTATTATATATTTTTATAGACAGTAGTCGATAGTTGGAAAAAAATTCCACTATAAAATTCAAAATATTATCAGCTGTAAATAAATTAATACATTAATCATACAATTAACATAATTGTATATAATTGTACTATATTATTATATTATTATTATTATTATTATATTATATTATTGTACTTTAAAATTATATTATATAACCCTCATTTTCATGTTTATATTTTATACTTAAAGCAATTGGATATAAATTTAAATATTTGAAATGTAGTTAAATCTAAATTTGATAAATTTATGAAAAATATTATTTCTCATCGTTTCTCATAATGTTTTGCTTTAAACAGTTTCAGACGATATAGATGAGCTGAGTCCATCTCTATACAGCTATCAGACAGACCAGGAAGAGAATAAAAAATTCCTGTTGGCATTTTCCAACTGTGGAATCGAAACCGCTGTTGTCGATAAAGCCGCAAAGAAGGAACGCATAAAACAGTGGATCCAATCTAGTGTCATCGAAGAAGAAGACGAAGAGGGTTCTAGCGAAGGAACTAGTAAATTGAGTTTATCGCGTAAGGGTAGCAACGATACCGAAGAAAACGAATTATACGCATTGACCAAACGCGAAGGTTAGACTTTTATTGCTGGGGTTCCAATACAAAGGTTAAAATATATATGAGACTGTATAAATTGTTGGTATAATATTATATTAATATAAATACATGTGTATATTATATGCATCATATACCTTTATCATTAATATAATTGAATTTTAATAATAGTGTACCTATAATTATATTTATTGTAATTTTTTTTAATTATAACATTGCTACGCATACTATACTATATTATGTACTTTATTTTATATATACATTTGAGCATAAACCATGGTCAATGATCGTCTAGCTATATTTTATTTTAATGATAACTGGTAAGTGCTAAGACAAATATTTACTTAACACATTTTATTTCAGCCTGAAAAATATATTTATTAATAACAAAAATAATTTAATTATAATGTTTTTAAATGTATGTTTAAAAATAAATTTTTTATTTTTATAATTGTATGCCTAGGTATATTAATCATATATTATTATACAGTCTACGCACTGTATATGTACAAACATTTCCTAAAATTCAAAACAATAATTATAATTATGTAATATTATAATAATAATTTTTTTAACCTGTCGGCTGTGGTACAATAATATAATATATAATAAGTGGTACCTACGACCTACCTAATTATTATTTTCAAATTATAATGTTTATATACATTTAGACATCTAATCATCTAGGGGATATTATTATGTTGTATATAATTACTTTTCGCAACAATTATTATTTATTATACACACATAGAACAGACATTTCTATCAATTATTTTTAATGTCGTTGATTAAAAAATATTAAAAAAAAAAAACTGAAGCATTTTTAACAGTGGCAGTCCATAATAATAATACCTATGTATATTTATAAAAACAAAAATTATAAAAAGAAAATTAAAAAACATTAATTTTTAAAGATTATTATAAATAAAATATTTTGATATTTGTTCAATGGTTGTTTTATTTATTCCTGTTTAGGTTATAAGACTTCATTAGATATTTACAAATACTTTAAATTTAAAGTATTTGTTATTAATGCATTACCACAAAGAAAACTCTTTCGTAAAAATGTAGGTCATTTTACATATCAACCTGTTAGATATAATTAATTGTATTATATAGACTACTATTATATTATTGTTGTAAATAAAAGTACTAAATAAAAGTGTTCAGCAAGGTCAAAGGCCGATTATTATATAAAACATTTTAGGTAGGTAGTTCATGTTGATTACTCTGATATCGAACTACAAATAGTTTATAGATAGTTGCACTGTTAAATGTTATTATTTTGGTTGGTCTCACATTACTCACATCTAAAATTAGTAATTACCATATATTTTCATTAATCTATTAAACCTTTGTGAAAGAATATTTGTATCTTTATAATAATGTACCTCTAATAATATTAAAATATATTGTCAAGTATGTTATGAGTTATGATTGATACTTGTTACACAAGACGTATTCATGATTATCATATTAACTATATGATATAAAACCATAAAATCAATTTAAAATAAATTATATTATTATTCATGACATATCCACGTCATTAAAAAAATCGTGAATCTGTACTATGGACAAAGAATTAGGTAGGCAAAGATAAAAAATTACACCAAACCGTTAAGTTTATCTGAAATGACTGGTTTATTTTGTGGTTTAAATACTGAAATGAATTACATATATTTACATATTATTTTAGGTACTGTTTGGGCTATGGCATTTTGGAGTTTTGCAATGTATGGACTAGATGAATTAACAGTTCTGAAACAAAACAAAAATAAAATGTAAATCAAAATGTATAGTTTAACGATAAAAGTAATTTTTATATCATCAATTATATCATTTATAAAGTAAACAGTACTATAATGAGAACATAATACTATAATAGTGCTACCTGTATACCTATGGATAAGAATTCGTAATCATAAATTTCAAACAACAATTATTATGTCTTAAAGTGCAAAAAAAAATGCTAAAAAATACACTAATATACATCAGTATATTTGTATAATAAACATCACTAAGCATTACCTAACCAGGTTAACTTATATTAACTAATATAATATAGACTATATTACTAATATTATTATAAAGTATATACGGTTATAATTGTCTAATTAAAGTACATACAATAAATCTTCCCAAGAAGAATAATTTATATTAAATTTACTATTATAAGTATATATCATGTCAAGCTAACATAAAAAAATTTAAAATTTATACCGTTTGTTATTGTTGTTATTGTTTAGTATTTTGTGAACGAAATAATTTACGTTCAAATATCTTATTAATAATGCCAGACCACGTAAATCATATTAAGTTTATAAGTTTAACCATTAAATATAAATACTTAATAGTTTTACTTTATCTTAAGTTAAATTGTTTGAAATTGAAAAAATATTTTTATGAGAAAAATGTTTTTAAAAAGTTGATTTTAATGTTTTCTTTGCAATTTTAAATAATAAAAATAATAATAATCGTAAAAACAACTTTAACAAAATGTTATATTTTTAAAGATGGTATACGCATTGTTGTGATTTTATGTTCAAAAAAATTTTGATTTTAAATTTTGAAAAAAAAAATCTTAATTTTCGTATCTAACTCACCATCAGTTGGCTGGTTGCTGGTGTGGCTTTGGCGACGGTCTTAACGGCCTTGGCAGAGTGCACTTGTCCGACAACGACGATGTTCATGGATACTTTTTCTGCGCCCATTTTTGGTTTTTGGTTGGTTTTTGAGGATGAAAGTATAAACTGTAAATGGAAAAAAAAATTATTAATTTGAAATAAAAATTAAACAATTAATGTCGTTCCATACTTACCAACGAATAGATCTGCACAAAGGATGTGTTATGCCGGAATCGAGACCTCGGACCCATTTATATACCAACCCGCCTACCGATTTAAAGTGGGGCGGCGCAGTGGTGTGATTATTATTATTGAGAATTGTTTATTTAAAAAACATTGAACGAATATCTAATCTCGGGTTTTTGCATATTATGGCTTACGAAGTTCAGGTACGGTTAAATTTAAATTTTTAAATTTTTAAATGTAGTGACAATGTCAGGCACATCATATTATAAAATATTAACGTATCTCACAAAATAATTAATTATATGTAAAATATATTGTAAACAGTACACGTCGAAGAAAATATGATTATTATAATTTGTAAAAATAAAAGATTTTGAATAATTGTATAATGTTCGTTACATTGTTATAGACATTCATTTTTTGCTCATATTCATATTACATACCTACATAATATACGACATGTAACAGGCGATTTTTACCTCCGGATATTTTTACCCCCCCCCGGTAAAAATATCCTAGGTTAATTTTACCCCCGGTAAAAATATACTAGGTTATTTTTACCCCCAGTAAAATTTTAAGGGGGGTAAAAATATCCTAGGTTAATTTTACCCCCGGTAAAAATATACTAGGATATTATTACCCCCCCGGTAAAATTAATTGACAGGGGGTAAAAATATACTAGGATATTTTTACCCCCCCCGGTAAAATTAATCGACGGGGGGTAAAAATATCCTAGGATATATTTACCCCCCGGTAAAATTAATCGACAGGGGGGTAAAAATATCCTAGGATATATTTACCCCCCCGGTAAAATTAATCGACAGGGGGGTAAAAATATACTAGGATATTTTTACCCCCCCGGTAAAAATATCATAGTATATAATTAACGATCTGTTTAAAATATACTAGAATACATTTACCTCCCATTGAATTATTATAGTAGAATATTTTTACCCCCTCGGTATAAATATTCGACAGGGGGGTAAAAATATACTAGGATATTATTACCCCCCCCAGTAAAAATATTATAGCATATAATTAACGATCTTTTTAAAATATACTAGAATATATTTACCTCCCATTGAATTATTATAGTAGAATATTTTTACCCCCTCGGTATAAATGTGTTTTTAAGGGGGGTAAAAATATCCTAGCATATAACTAACGACCTGTTTAAAATATACTAGAATACATTTACCTCCCATTGAATTTTTATAGCAGAATATTTTTACCCCCTCGGTATAAATGTGTTTTTAAGGGGGGTAAAAATATCCTAGCATATAATCAACGATCCGTTTGTTGTTCAAAAATAGTTTGTCATAATTTTTAACATTCATAATTTTAAACAGATCGTTAATTATATGCTATGATATTATTTACCCCCCTGTAAAATTAATCGACAGGGGGAAAAATTTACTAGGATATTATTACCCCCCCCCCCCCCCAGTAAAAATATTATAGCATATAATTAACGATCTTTTTAAAATATACTAGAATATATTTACCTCCCATTGAATTATTATAGTAGAATATTTTTACCCCCTCGGTATAAATATTCGACAGGGGGGTAAAAATATACTAGGATATTATTACCCCCCGGTGAAAATATTCGACAGGGGGGTAAAAATATACTAGGATATAATTAAAAACATTTTATACAATTTTAACAATAGTTACCCTATGGTCAAAATTTAATCTCCGCGACGTAAAATAATCATAACATTGAGAAGTGAGACTGTTTAAATTTTTGCATGTGTACATCTCCGAGATTAGTATATGCGACGCTTAATGTCCAGAAACAGGAAGTCGTCATATGCGATATGTGACAACCTTATTAACACTTGTATGTGATATCCATATAACTTCTCATTATTTACTCATAGATATCACATAGTAAAAAACTAAAGATAGCATAGATAGCATGTGAAATTTAATATTAGTAACTGTGGTTAATCGCGGAGACGATTCCCAATTCCATCACAATGACTTTGCATAGACTACCTACAGTACTACACAAAGTGTCCGCCGTCCGGAATAAAATGAAAAATAAAATATTTCTCGTCCACAAATTTAGAAGTAGTACCCAGGCGGATTTGAAACCTACATCCCTAACTTATTAACCCTACGCCTAACCTACTGGGACACACTAACGAGATAATAATAATAATTGGTATAGTATAATTATTGAAATAATCATAATCCTTACTTTTGTATAAGATTTACAATATTTAATTTATAATGTATCTTAAGACAATTCAATAAATTTGAGCGTTTCACAAAACAATTTTTTTATCAATAAATCCTAAAAAAATTTCATCCTTGTCACGATATAATGTCTTACTCCAATTTACGTACTACGCTGAGGAATTTCGCCATTTTTCTTGTTGTTCTGATTATAACCTTTATGTTATTATTAATTGTATCCTATTAACTTAAGTTTTTATTGTTTTTAATCAATGTTTCTGTGTCCAACTTTATAGTTAATTAAGTACTATTCAGTATTCTTGTTTAATAAATAAATAATAATACTGGTTTTGATTTTAGATTCTGAACGGAGTGATGAATGTATTGATTTTACAATGATGTAATAATAAAATGATAAAATATTTAGCCTATTAAAAAAAATTATCTAAATTTTCTTTGGTGTTTGAACATATTAAATAAAATATTATTGTTCAATGCAATGCTCAAAATTTAGTAAGTACCATAAGGGTACTTAGAATGTTAATATTTTACATACATTTTAATATATATTTTGGTATGTTTAGGATGAATAATATTTCCCCAAAAACGGCCAAAACATATGCGTGTCAACATCATAGCAGTCAGATTTAAAATTTTGAGTTTTTTAATAATATAATAAATTAATAAGTAATAATTATACAGCTCATTTATAAATTACAATTTATGTAAAAAAAAATATTAAAAACAATATTATAAATATATGGCATTTTTAAGGTAATTTTTATGGTAAAATTCATTTTTTAAGGGCATTTTTGGCTATTTTTAGAGCATATTTGTATGGTTTTAAGTGCATTTAAATCCGGGCCCTATTTATTATATTATACATATATATAGTTTGCTTACCGTAATTATTGTTATCAATGTTTGATTCCCATGGCCTGAACATTTTTATAATATTCCTCAATCAAGTTAACAACACCTAAAATAGGTACAATATATTATAGGAACTATATTAGGTACTATATCAATTAATTTACCATCAAGGTTCGGAGCTTCAAAAATTTGCAATTTTCAAAATACTTTTATAAAATAAACTACTTTTAAAATCTACAAAAAAAAATAGTCCAACAAAAAATGTGAAGAGTAATATTGCATTAAAGTTCTTAATTATTTGTTATTATATCTGTATTATTGTTATTTGTGTAAAATCAAAGAAAAATTATCAATAGATCAAAAGTAAAATTTAATATCCCGCGCAAACAGAATTTAAATATATGGACGGGTACCTTGTTTTAAAGAATCCACGCGCGATAATATATTAAATTATTCAAAACCTTCATTTACAAATGTATACATACAGAAGTAGCTTAGGCCTTAGAGTGATATTAAAATGTTTAGTTTTGTAAAAGGTATTAATAATTATAATATTAATACATTCGTAATCGGAAAAAATCACACGCTTGGAAAAATGTCCCGGAAAAAAAGTTAAGTAAGTGAAAAATTTACCGAAACGCTTATTTTTGTACAGTTCACAGTTGTACTTTTTACTTTAGTGAGTAATATATAAAATGCTTATATAATGTACAAACATATTTGTCATCGACCATTTTTAAATATTGATTGAAAATTTAGAACAAACCTTATTGCATATTTCAGATGGTAACCGGACAATTTCCCCCCGGACATTTTCCCCCCGACTGTTTTTGGCCTGGTAGGACATTTCCCCCCCAAAAAATGATCTGATTCGGACATTTTCCCCCCATTTTATTTTTAAGTTTATTATTTAATAAGAAATTATTTTTTTTCCATAAATATAATCAATTATACTACAATTAACTTTATAAATTTATACTATAAATTACATTTTTTTTTTCATAAATATAATAAAACGTAAAAAAATTATATAAGTATAAAAGGTTAAAAAATATTTATAGAAATATAGTCTAAAAATGTCGACATAAAAATTATATATTTTGTAAATAGTTCATAAATAAAATAAAACGTAAAGTAATTGTATATAGGTAAGTAAAATAGGTTAAAAATGTTGTACTATGTTACTAGCGAATAATACAGGGTAACCGGAAAAAAAATCCCCAGCTACAATATTACTCACAATCACATGCAAATGGTTGAACAAATATATTTTGGACGTTAATTAGTATCTATAATTAATATTTATTTACAAATACGTATATTATATTATATTATATAATAATATTTTGTTTTAAATTACGATAATATATTATGTGTAATTCAAATTAAGTAAATTAACAACTTCACAAATAGGTAAAGCATATAAAAATATTTCGAATGATCGATACGTCAATTAATAATACAGTTAAAAACATAATACACAAAAATATTATACAAAATATAGGTAATAATAATAATAATAATTATCAAACGATAATTTATTGAATGTAGGCACGAGGCACATACTTATAGTAAAAAGACTTAGAATGTTTTAATTTTTTTTTTAAATGTTAATTTATATTATTATTATTATTACCTATATTTTGTATAATATTTTTGTATACTATAATATGTTTTTAACTGTATTATTTGACGTATAAACAAAATATTATTTATAATATAAAATTTTTTTAACAATATAATTTAATATACGTATTTGTAATTACATTTTAATTATAGATACTAATTAAAGTTTAAAAAAAATTTGTTCAACCATTTACATGTGGTTGTGAGTAATATTGTAGGCTGGGGATTTTTTTTCCGGGATTCATGCTAGTACTATTATTTTTTATTTAGTCAATCTTTTAAATATAATATTACTACTATTTTATTGTTTCAAGTAGTTGAATTGATCAAAAATATACATCTACTATAATAGGTAATTATAGTCTAATTGATTATATTTATGAAACAAAATTATATTTTACTGAAAAAAAATAATTTCTTATTAAATAATAAATAATATTATATTATTAAAAAATAAACTTAAAAAAAAATGGGGGGGGGGATAATGTCCGCATTGAATATATATTGGGGGGGGGGGAATGTCCTACTACGCCAAAAACAGTCAGGGGGGAAATTGTCCACCATTCATTTCAGATCATTCTGATACACCTTGTACAAATATAACTCTTTAAAACTAATAAAGAATAGGTGAGCACATTACACTAAGTAAAGGTATATTAGTATTAAATAGGTACCTATGTTTAATTTTAATCATATTTCAACAAATAGTATAAACGTTAAAATTTCTATTTGTATTTTTCAGTTAAAAAATAAATTGTAAAATAGTTTCATCATATGAAAATATTATTTTATAGAATAAAATATTCTAGGACTGCTTTTTATTTATAAATTCTATAGTCTGCATCATTTAAATTTTTGGAAAAGAAATTATTCACATTATTCAATTAGTATTTTTTTAATTATTCGACGTATTCAATTATATTTAAATAAAATGCTCACTTAATATTCATTAATTATTTTACATAAGTACCTATGCTTAATATACAGATAGTAAATATTTACTTACCGGTTATTGAGTCAATGATCCAGTAGAAAAATATTCATAAAATCAAAATTTTCAGAACACACAGTACACAGTTAAAACTCTAAACACGTAATAAACGCCTAATAATAATTGACTATTCGTAACGAACTGTTCGTAACGAAGGTGAATACTGGAATGAAGAATATGATTTGAAATTTGTCTAAATTATCCATAAGATTACCTATATAATTTGTACCACAAAACTGTGAGACATACAATGTAATCAGTATTACATTTTTACCAAGAATATATCAACTGTTACTTTGGGTTTAATGTTCATCAACATTATGTGGTATGTACCTACATATACATATATATATATTATATACATACATATGTATGACCAACTTCTAATATGGTCGACGGTATTGTCACAAGTTGCAACGAATAACAATAATAGTCCGCTCACCTGCCCAACAAATACGAACCTTTGATCAGGCGACAGTAACCGTCGGCATACTGTATAAAAAGGTGATGAAAAAGTGTAACGTAGGTACCTGTATCGCACACGGTGCATTATAAAAATGTTTATTGTTATAAACCATAAGACAAGTCAAGGAACCTGGGCTGCCGACTTGTATAACAATTAATTATAGGTTATCGGTTGACTTTGACAGGTAGCACAGTGACAGTCTTATTTACATTATAATCTAATGATAACTTTATTTTATTTTTTTTAATTCTATAATATAATTTTATTGAGATGATCATAGTGAACTATAATAATAATATTCACTTCTACAACTATACCATAGATTTAACATAAATTATCAATGTTATTATAAAACGAAAACAAAATTTAAATTTAAGAAAAGACAAACAATTATAACACTTTAATGAAAACAATAAAAATATAACAATGTATTTCTGATATCGTTTAATACCAATAAAAAAAATGAAAAGGACAATTTTATTACATATCCACGTTTTTGAATTTTCTATTTAAAAATGTTTTGTGTAAATACTAGTATATATACAATATACATAGAGATTAAACAAGTATTAAGACTCAGCGAGAGAATCATTTCCTCGGCTTCGGTGGCCTTTTTGACCGGGGGGTAACTATATCCTAGTTTATATTCAGCTGGGAGGTAACTATATCCTAGTATATTTATACCCCCCTTTAAATGACATTTTTACCGGGGAGGTAACTATATCCTAGGTTATATTCACCCGGGGGTAACTATATCCTAGTATATATTCACCCGGGAGGTAACTATATCCTAGTATATTTATACCCCCCTTTAACGACATTTTTACCGGGGAGGTAACTATATCCTAGGTTATATTCACCCGGGGGTAAAAATATCCTAGTATTATTTTACCGCCGGTAAAAATTTCCTAGGATATATTTACCCCCCATGGGATGTCAAAATATCCTAGTATATATTTACCCCCGGTAAATATAACCTAGGATATATTTACCGGGGGAGGTAAAAATTATGTAGGGTAATAGAATCCTATGACACCGGATCTATTGACTATAATAAATTCAAACTTTTAGCTTATACAGCTACTGGACTGTTAGAATAAAACATGCAAATGCATATAAATCCGGGCCCTATTCATTATATATATTATTATTATCTGTGCCTTAAAAAGTCGTATATAAAAATACATCATATACATCAATTATTCATAGAATAATGTCCATCAAAATCGTTACACATAATAATATTACTGTTATATAAGTTATCTGAAAACGTATTGTATCGTTAGCAACCAGATTTACCTACATTTGTTTGAATTTACGATATTTTGTATACAGCCCATATTGATGGACAATATTATGTTTGACAATTAATTAGTACCTAAAGGTAAAATATATGGACCTACATACAGTGCCGCATTTAGACATTTCGAGCTCCCTAAACCCTGGTGAAAAAAAATTGCTCCCCCCTAAAGGGCCTACCCACGGAAAATATGGGAGATAGATCCTCATTAACCTTTTAGATTTTGAGCACAGAAAAGAATATTTGCAGTTTTACAATATAGAAATTCCCTAGACTAAACTGGTTTACAATTATCCCACATTATCCCGCACTGGGATAATGAACCAAGTAAATGATATGGTCCAAACATCCCGGTGCATTATTTTTCACACCTATTTAGTCTAGCAAATTTCTATAGTGTGTGCTTTTTTTAAAAATATTGTTTAGTAATTGCTTGATGATGATCAAAAAGATACATTTGCATATATGTCACTTAAACCATGCTTATAATTCATCAAATAAGTTGTTTTTTTAACATATTTAAGTAGATTGTAGGTACTTCATGAATAAATAAAATAAAATTATATAAAACTATGCAAATTAATATTGATTAAAAAAATTTCAAACAGCATAATACTATATGTATATATAATACATATATATAGTATATATAATTATATATATAGTTATATATATAATAATATAATAATATATATATATATATATAATATATAATAATATATAATATATATTATATAATATATATTATATAATATATATTATATAATATATATTATATAATATATATAATTATATATATAGTTATATATATAATTATTATATATATAGTATATATAATACTATTAGGTATACTAAATTATATTATATAATACTGTTACTAAAATAATTAAAATTATAAAATTAAACAAATTTCTGACCACAAATTATTGGCGGCCGGTGTAACAGGCGATTTTTACCCCCCTGTATATTTTACCGGGGGGGTAAAAATAGCCTGAGGTAAAAATCGCCTATCGTAACAGGCGATTTTTACCCACCTACAGATTTTACTGTAGGAGGTAAAAATCGCCTGGGGTAAAAATTGCCTAGCGTAACAATTAATTTTTACTTGCCTAACAAATTTTACCGTAGCTGGGGTAATTTTACTACCCACATAATTGTAGTCTCTTTTCTATGATAATATTTTATAATTACTTTTAAACTAAAATTTTAAAATAATACAAATGCTGACTGGTAATCCCAAAGGTAATCCTGTGCACTGCTCACTTGAAACAGTATACCTTTATTCACGAAAATGTCCCCGATTTCAGATTTGTCCGTGCCCAATATATGCAATACATAATATAGGTAATAATACTGGTAATATAAACATAATAATACTGAATATAGGTAGATAAATGATAAATGTATGTACCTACATATTTTTGTACAGAGAGTATTTTATATGCAAAAGTCCACCTATTAAGGTACCTATTCATGTTGTATGAATTAATAGACAAAGCGTCCTTGATACACCAAAAATCTTAAAATTAAATAATTATATAAACATATTAACTATTGAAGAATACATAAGGGTATGAAATAAAATTAATAAAATAACGAATGATTCTGGCAATTTTTCTTTAAATTTGATGTTTAAATATAGGTACTAGCTTACCTTAGCTTACTTGTACACTTTATAACTTAATAAAAATATTTACATTATACAACATCTAGAACCACATCATAGTGTACATTACCTATGTTTCTTATATAAATGCATCGTTCTGTATGATAAATATATGTTTTTAAATTAAGGTTTTTATTAAAAAGTTGCCATGTATTGGTTGTTGTTGCATAAACATAAATTGATGTTTTTAACAATTGAGCTGCAGCAAAAATTTCAACATCAGTACCCCAAACACCTACAAAAAAATCATTTTTACATTACACAAAATGTTTTTAAAAATAAATATAAGAAATAATTAGTTCTTGATAATTCTATTGCATTTTTGGTTTTGTATTTGGAAAAGTTAGTATAATAAATCTTACCGGAATTGAATTTATTATATTCCAGTGTTTCCATTTATTTTTACACTTTCCTGAATATTTTGAAAATTGATGAAATTTTCTACTTTTTACATTCTCTTCGTCCCAAACTATTAATTTACTAGATCCATCCTATATTCCTATTTACTACTAGATACCGCACTTCAAGTCGAACATTAAACCGTTTTTATTCCTTCAAAACGACAGATACCCACACACACGCAAATTTATTTCAATTTGTGTATTGTTCATTAATTATGTAGGTATAATCGTTGTATATCCATGTAATTTAATATAATATTTTATAAAAAAAAACAGCTAATTACATTCATACATTCTTGGAGAATTTTTATACTGCACGATGAAAAAAGTACTAACCAACTAAAAATTAAAAAAAATCCTAAATTAATAATACTTACTCGTTTCTTTAAAATGAAATAAATTATCACTATCTTCTTCATTATTTCCATTTATAATTGCATATTTTGTATCTATTTCCATGTCTACACAATTATTATCATCTTTCGTAGAACTGCAGTTTTCTAAATTCTTCTGTACCATATCACTATACATAATATCACAATCAAACAAATCTAAGTTGTTTACTTCATTTTCATTTTCATTTATATTTGTTTGTTTGTTATTTTCCCATGGACGAAAACAAGCCATACTGGATCTTCATAAAATTAAAGTAAAAATAATAACCAATCAAATAATTCTATAGTGAATAATAGAAAAATAATATGCTTATAGCCATTGATGTAAATAGATGGTGACTTGAGGGGGGGGGTCACAGGTTTCTAATACCCTCAAATCCCCCCCCCGGGTAAAATTGAGCGTCGTGGCCCAGGGGTAATAATATCATAGCATATAATTTATTATATTCTAATAATGCATTTGATTATTATTTATTACAATGTAATAGAGGGTATTAACAAAGTAAAATTAAAAATGATTAACCATCAAATTGGAAATTGTTATAGATAATCTTGTTTGTACTATAGTCTATAATCATTGATTAGTAGGTACCTATAGAAATTAATTTCACAATATCCATTTTGAAATTACAAGACTTATTGTATGTTATTTGTTAAGGTTTAACAAAAAGCATAATTATTAATTTTATAAGTAAAAAGTAAAATATTTTTAACTAATATATTTAAAATATTTAAAAATCATAAATGTCTATACCTATAAAGTTTGAAAATGCAATATAATTCTATATAAGTTTTACGATTTATTTACTATACAAAAATAGACAATAGTTTTGCATGGTAACTAGAAATATGCATCAAATAGACATTTTGCTATTAATTATATAATTTTCAAAATATTTGGCTAATTTTAAGCTGTATTTATAAATTGTAGATTTATTTATAGAAATTAATTATAATATATCCATAAATCCTAAGAAATTGAATTCTGACCGGGTAGGTAAATTTTATATGTATCTATGTTCGACATAACTGGTCGGTTATTATTTTATAGGATATTTTTACCCCACTTAAAAACACATTTTTACCGTGGAGGGGGGGGGGGTAAAAATATCCTACTATTAGTGCACCTGAGAGGTAAATATATCATAGTATATTTTAAGCAGGTATTTAAATATTTAATATATTATGCTAGGATATTATTACCTCCAACGTACAATTTTGATTTAGGGGGGGGGGTGGAAATAACGTAGTATATTTTTACTCACCTTAAAATTATGGGTAATATACAAGGATATTTTTATAGAGAGGGGGTAAAAATTGCCATTTATTGGGCCTCAATTCAAAATTTAGTTCTTAAGAACTACTTAAGTATATAGGTATTATTTAAAGTTTTTTTTTTAAAAACTAAAACTTTTCTAAATAATGAGTGTAGACATTTATTAATGGAACACTCGTTATTATCTCATTTTGAATTGACAACTGTAGTTGAACCACCCATCCATAAATTTATTTATTGTAATGGGTTTTGCATTATTATTATTACATAGGTAATACTTAGTACCTACTTGGCTATACATTTTTAGACTGAATCAGTCCCTAAAATTGTGTGTAGTACGACACACTTTGTGTAGTACGAAAAGTACAGTGTGTAGTACGAAATTTAAAAGTGTGTTATTCTAATTAAACCTTTATAATAATATTATGTATAATTTTATATCTTCACATTTTTTTTAATATTTTAATGGTTTTTTGCTAAACCACATTTTAATTATTATCTACTATACATAGACACACAGTAAACAATATTTTGTGTTGTTACGTCTTATACTCTTATTATATAGTTATTATTATTCATTGTTATTAAGAGTAGCTATTTTTATTATTATCAGCTAGTAATGAACGGTGGTATATAGTATACTAGTGTTTATCTAGAAATAATTTAGATTTGACCGATTTGGGATTAGGTATGTGTGTAGTACGAAAATTTGGATATTTTAGGGACTGGACTGAATCCTCCGGCCAAGTAAACTAAATTTGGATTAATTTTAGTTAAAATAATTCATATAATAAATAAATATAAATAACCAATTTTTATTAAATTTTGATTAATTACTAATAATATAATATATATTATTATATATTTATATATTATATAAATTTTACACATTTAGAGCGATTAGCCCATTTACTTAGACTCCATCTTATATCACACATTTTATAGCATTTATCTTTAAGTTTTTTTCACTTAGCGTTTTTTACACGTAGACACGTAGTTGACGGAGTGCTTTTGTTAGAATATCATTAGTTTTTTTATAAATTATCATATTTAATATACTGTATTAATATGTCTGGGTTAATTGTTTATCCCGTGCACCCAACAATGGATTAAATTAAATTTTTTTTTTACATGGAGTTGTCATATTGTTTTTGTTGGTATATTATTAGTTTTTATAAATTGTATATATATTATATTTATTATTGCCGTCTCCATAGCGCGTTTATAATAATATTATTTATTAATACGTTTAATACCTCATTCTAACGATTTGGTCCATTTATTAGACCTGTAGCCTTTAATAAATAATACAAAAATATTAACACATATTAAATGGGAATGTTTAGGTTTTTGAATGATAATATATATACACGGTCGTGTGCTTTGACTTATTTTTTTTTTACTTAAATAGCAATTGTGTCGCTGGATTTGTTTCAAAATTCTAATCATTCAGTAGAATTAATAATAGGAAAATAATGTCTCATTACCTAGCCTTACGAGCTTCTTATTTTTTAAAACATTTAAATCCACGCAGTACCATGACGTGGTCACGTTGCAATTAGAAAATATTGATCTATTAATAATAATTTATCCTATGTAGGTAATATATTATTATTATATATAAAATATAGATTTGATGTGTTGTCATTTAATATCATGTACCTAGTTAAGTGGCTAAGTATTACGTTTCAATTCATATAAAACTCTGATAGGATATTATTTACTATTATTACTACAATATGAATATAAATTAAATATATTATATTTTAATTAATAGAAAATATACTTACGAAGTTACGACACAATATAACAGCACAATTATTCTAAATATGATAATTATATTTTAAAATAAAGTATATATCAAGGTACAGTATACACACCTAAATACAAAATACAAAATTAATTTAAAAATTATAGTTATTATTAAAGCTCAAAAAATACTTAAATCCTTTTATAAATTACTTACCTTCTTTTGTACGTACGTCTTTTCTCAAAATCAATTAAAAAAATAATAAACACAAATTGAATACAGGTAGGTACTTTGAACAAAATAGTTGGGTATAAAATATCATAAATTATTTCATATTATGGAACAACCATGTTGTACAGCAGTAAAGCTAGGAGTGATTATAAAATGTTCGAATAAAATAATTTTAAGGACAAATAATGATAAAAATATACAATTTATATGTAAATACCAAATATCAATAATAACAATTATAACTGAATTGTGGATTCAAAAATAGATGTTTAGCTTAATAGAAACGTTCAAAAATATATTATGTATACATCTTGTTTTCATTTTTCATAAACACAAATACGTAATACGTCCAAAAATAGAAACTTCGAAAAGCAAATTATTATATCGGTAGTATACATTTATTATAATAATATTAAACATAAATATTTCATGCTGGTTATTATGAAATTATGTTAAGACGTTAAGTATTTACTATTTTGTAAAACCTATTATTAATAACAAAACAAAATGGTAGTTTGACTTTAATAATTGTGTAGACTGTAGATAAATTAAACACATAATTAATTTTGTTTAAAAACATTTATTTGAATAGGTAGGTTATAACTTATAAGTTATATAGAAAAAAATATTAATTAATAAGAGTAAAAAGTTTTACTAATACCATTAAGTGGACATTTGCATATTATAAAACATTATATGGACAAAAATCATAACACTGTTGCATTAGTGGATGCGATAAATAACTCTTGCATCTTAGAAAAATTTGTAGGCGAGTTTTACCCCCCCGGTAAAATTTGTAGGTGGGTAAAAATCGACTGTTACGCCAGGCGAATTTTACCTCAGGCGATTTTTACCCCCCGGTAAAAATTCGAAGGTGGGTAAAAATCGCCTGTTACGCCGGGCGATTTTTACCTCAGGCGATTTTTACCCCCCCGGTAAAAATTCGAAGGTGGGTAAAAATCGCCTGTTACGCCGGGCGATTTTTACCTCAGGCGATTTTTACCCCCCCGGTAAAAATTCTCGGGGGTACAAATCGCCGGTGACAGGAAATACTTTGTCTTGAAAACAATTAATTATTTTATATATTTATTCGTAGGTATGACATAATTGATAATTAATACGAACATGATACATTTTTTTTTTTAAATTTTAAATTTATTGGTGAATTATCGTATTCCAAATAATAAAAAATGTTTGGTAAAAATCAGAAGTTAAAAAAATGAATATTCAAAGAGATAGTAAAAGTCAATGAAAAGCCGCTTTACATCATAAAGCCGACGAGTGATGCCGCCCATGTTTTACGTGTAAAAGTAGTTTGATTTACACAATGAATTTTATAACTTACTATAGAATTTCAGAATTTTTTTTTGTCCTTAGTATATTTATGTGCTTAAGATGCCGGTGTGATTTAAAACGTAATATATCTTGTTATTGTATATATATTATAAGTTATAATTTATTAAATTTATTGAGTTCGCGACTCGCGTTGTATTGGTGTATGAACCAATTTTTACGAAATTTAAAGTTAATTAAAATAAATTGTAAATATAATTAACGTTAACCAAAATTGGGATGTATGGAAATCACAATGCCCAATATTTTTCCACTATTTAGTGACATAATTAAGAAGAATATTTAATTATATTCATCGATCCATTCACACAATACTCGATGGATATGTTTTCATAGTAAAACAGTAAAATATAAGATTTGACGTCGTCCGACGTACGATATCAGTTACACGAATCGCCTTTAAGAGTTATGGTCACGCCACCACGCCATAGCCGAAAGCCACCACAGTATATAAGGAAGTATTGATGCTTCATTCCGGCATAACGCAATTTTTGTCCAATTATAATAATCTGTGAGTATACCTATATAGCTGACGAGATATACAATTTCTCTGATCTTTAGATTGTTTTAAATTATTCGTGTTTTCTATTTAAAATTTTTTTTTCTACTTGCAGTTTTCACTTTACACATCAAACCACCAACCAAAAACTAAAAATGGGAGCTGAAAAAGTAACCATGAACATCGTCGTTGTCGGTCAAGTCCAATCTGCCAAGGCCATCAAATCGATCGCCAAAGCCACTCCAGCCACCAGCCAATTGATGGTGAGTTAACAATTCTGTGATTTTTTAATTTTTAATTATAGTGGGATCGTAGTTTTTTTTACTGTTGCAATATTTGCAATATTGTTATTGTGTTTCAATTTTCTTTTATTGTTGCGCACATGCGACTGGTATATTTAATTGTTGACAAGGTACCTACCTACCTATATAAATTAAATCTGTAGTACAATATTTGTTTTTATTATTATATCAAAATAATTAAGGCTTAAATAATTTTGTTCGATATTTTATTGTTACATCAAATTGAATTATTATTGATTTTATATAAATAACCTATTTTTTATAATTCGTAATCATAACTTACTAAACATTTAATCATTTGATATAAAAGTCTCGAAAATCTATTTCCTCTACTTCTTATTAGTATTAAAATTGACTAAGAAAATGTCAAATATTTTAGCACACAATACAGTCATAATAAGTTATCAGTGTTGTAATGTATTTCAGTAAATATATTTAAATACTTTTATAGTATAACACAAAACTTTTTTAAATTAAGTATTAGGAAGTATTTTAATACAGTACTGGAATAACTGTATTCGAAAATCAAATAATTTTTTTTAAATACTTTTAAAAATTCAAAAGAATTATTTGTAGCAGTTCAGGTTGTTATTTGATAATTATTATATTATTTTAGTTATAGTAAATTAAAATCAAATTATTACATTTTTGGATTATTGTTTAATTAATATTACATTTTGTTAGAATCAAATTATACAATCTTTTTATTTATTTTCGATATAACATGAAGTATAGGCAGCTAGTATAAAGTTTAAATGTTGACATCACAACTTTTTATTAGTATAATTACGAAATACATAATTAATTAATCCTACTCGTACAATAAATGATTAAAATTAAAAGTATATGCCAAGTATTAGTTCATAAAAACTTTCTGAATTAATGTATTCTTTTATTAATTTAAATATGATTTTAAAAATATATTTTACATCTCTGTAAACTGTAAAGTATAACAAATTTTGTAATCCTGTATTCCTGTTAGAATTTACTATTTAGTTCTACCAAGATTCTATACTTTTATACTTTAGTATATTATATTAATTGACAATTTTTTTGTTTTGTTCTAGAATTGTTAATTCAAGTCCACATCAATCTCAAACTAAAAAATGCCATAGCCGAAACAGTACATAATTTTATAATTTGTTTTTAATTATAATAATGTGTATTGACATTGCAAAATAAATCAGTCTCTTCCGTCAATGAAATCGTTAATTATTTATTTGTGCCATTCTGAGTTCTTATTATAGTTTATATGTCTTTGTTAATAGTCAATGAAATTTCAAAGATAAAATAGCGTGCAGTAATTTTTATACTTATTGTAATAGTTTTGGTACATAGATATTTGGATCGTTTAACAACAATATATTATAAAAGGCGAAAGATTTTTTCGTATTGAAAGGGAACCGGAGTAACAAGGGGAACACTCAGCTGCACCAAGTACAACCATGAACGAAGCATCTTAAACTTCCCCTCCAACATCGAAGAAGCACTCGGTGAAACCAACACCGATGCCATCTTCAACTTTTTTAATGCCATCAAAGTATCCAACCTATTATAAAAATCTGCAAATACTACTGTTTTACCTTTTTATTTAACACTACTATTTTATTTTATTTATCTACTCATTTTGTTTAATTTTCATGTTACTATGTACATAAGACTTTATAAATATTTCTATAATCTTAATCTACCATTGTAAACCTTTTCAGGCTAATGACCACCGCTGTCGAAGCCTTATTCTTAATAAAAAAAAAAAAAAAAAAAAAAAATATACTATAAAACCTTCTTAAGCTTATATTTATACATTTTCAACACTATGTAGAAATTTGCTAGACCAAACCTGGTTAAAATTATCCTACATTATCCCGCACCGGGATAATGAACCATGTAAACGATATGGTCCAAACATCCCGGTGCATTATTTTTCACACAGATATTTCTACTTTATACCTACTTACTATGGTTTTTTATATGGTATTTTTGATCGTTTTTAGGGTTTTGTAACTTCATAGAATTTTAATAAAATATTTCATTTCCAAAAAAAAAAAAAAATTTTTTTTTTATTATATCTAAAAGTTTATAGCCATCGATTTGCAAATAAACATTTTTAGAAGTTATTTTATTTTCTGAAAGGAAGAAAATATGTAAGATTAATTATTAAAATATGACCTAGTAGTTGTTTAAGGCCCCTGCAAATGTGTCATTTTTAACCCTTAACTTGGCAAGCATTAAAATATTAGAATGAAAATTTTAAAGTAGATATTTTCAAACTAATTTAAGGTCGCTGAATTCAAAAATGTTGTCAAAAAAAATATTGGACTTGAAAGTTCAAAGTTATGAATTGTATCTTAAAAGATACATAGCCAATTTAGCCATAAACCAATACTAATATTCATGTATCTAAAAGGATACATTGCCAGAAATCATGTATAAAAAACCAAGTATAAAATTATCTAATTTTAACATAAAAGTACCTTTTATTATGTAAAATTTCAGTAACTTAAAACTTAAACTTTTAATATAACAATTCAGACTCATCTTATTTAAAAACAGTATTAATTGTCACAGAAATTAGTTTTTAATTATACTAACATAGGAATATTTAAAAATTAAAATTAAAATTAACAGTATGTAGTTTCATTTTTTCTGCTCTACGGCGTTGCATTTTTTTGGAATGATCTAAAAAAATATGTATTATATAATACTTATTGTATAAGTTAAATAATATATAAATATGTATTTTATAATACTTATTGTATAAATTGAATATGTAATTTCTAAAATACTAGCATAATAAAGAAATCAAGCAATGTATCTTTTTGGATCCATATACAATAATCATATTAAAAGATAATTCTAGCAATGTATCTTTTTGGATACATACTTTTAAAATTGATATAAAATAAGCATTATTGCATATATTATTAGAATCTTTACATAAAAATGATAATTTATACACACATTAACTGAGTTGATGCGAAATAAACTCTCTAAACACATTAAAATTTGATGAAATTAGCAGTTGAAGTCAACGAGTTTGATCGGCTTTAAATTTCCAGAAAATGATAACAAAAAACAGTTATTATCAATCCCAATCATCATAGAAACGTTATCGTAGTGTACTCACGTGGTAGATATGTCATTTATCAGAGTGTACAAATAATAAAAATAAAAATATTGTACATCGGATTCCGTACAAAAATTCACAAACTTTGTGTATCCAAAAAGATACAACGCCAAGTTAAGGGAGTTGTGTTTAGGCAATTATTTCGATCCTGCAATTACTGATCGTCTTTGTGTGAACAGTAAATGATCATTAGTGTGTGTATACTCCCCTAGCATCACCCTACCATCATCAATTTACAATAAATTGTTATTTCTCATCTGGTTTATGGTCGCACGCACGCATATGAACAAGTAATTTAATGTCTAGATCAAAATATTCAAAACCAATTTATGAAAGTGAAATAGCCGTCGCACTAACAAAAATTAAGGTGCTTCTAGTGGTTCGATTTAAACAATGTAAAGATGTTTGTGTTGGTAAACAAGTTTACTTTGCATCGGTTGGAGCACTTTTTCAATTTAAGCAAATTCTTGACGAGAATAAATATTTGACATTTTATAAATTTATAAACTTTTAGTGTTGAATTTATTAAAAAATATCTAAAAAATAAAAATATACTCCGACCGATGCAAAGTAGACTTATTAACCAATTTAAACATCTTTACATTTTTTAAATCAAACTACTAGAAATACTTAAATTTTTGTCAGTCACTAAGGTCGTTTTGATGAAAAATGAATAGGTAGGGTTTGCAAGGGCCTTAAAAAATCTATAATATAACAAATTTAAGCATAGCTTTTTGGTTCCTAAGTTACAAACACATAAGCACCTAACCTATGAGTTATAGATTTCTGTATTACTCATTGAATAAGATTGTTGATTTTTAATTACCTATAGGTTTCTAGGATTCTAGATTTTCTTGTATGATTTATGAATTATAAGACAATTAATAGTTAATACCAATACACCATATTTAATACTTATATAGACATATAGTTAGGTATACTACTTTTACAGTTTGTAACTTAATTTATAACCATTAACATAACATTATAATAATTCGTAAACCTTTGTTGATAACTGATAAGTTATTCATTATCAAAGTTTTCTGTGCATAATGAATATATTATTTATAATCATCTATAATTATTAATTTACATACCAAGTACGTATTTTAGATTCTGAGTGGAACGATGAATGTATTGATTTTACAATGATGTGTGTTTTTTTTTTTTTTTTTTTGGTCTGTGTACACGATAAGTAGTCGAAATAATGCTTCGATTTTCAACTTCAATATCTGAAAGTGAATATCGTTGGTGCATTGAGAAGGTCAAAATTTAAAATTCCCAGTAATTTTCAAAAGCACCAAGAAAAACAAAAGAAAAATTAAGGAAAAACGGGCATTTTTACGCAAAATCGATTTTTCACAAAATTGAATTATGTTTTTGGTGTAACTTTAAAACAAATGACCGTAGATACATGACATTTTCACTGGTTGTTTATATTTGCATTTTCTATACACGATAAGATTTTCAAAATATTTTGATTTATTTTGAACCGTTTAGGGACATTTTCATTTTCCATTTTCCATATTATTTTGTAGCGTCTTGCAAACATTACGAATAAATTTACCGACTTTCGTCTAAAATTTAAATCGCATTTCCATAATATAATCTGTTTATAAAACGTATATCATATAATATCGACATATCAAACAGTGCAGCACACACCAGTAATTCGTCAGTTATCCAGAAACTGTCAACAAACGAAATTATGCAATTGGTTTTTGTCGATCTTCGGTCAAATAGACCCAAACCGGCCAAACCGTTAGATAATTGCAATTTCAACAGTTTCCCCGCAAATCCCCGCAATTCCAAGTAATCCTATTACCCCGCCCACCCTATAGTCGCGCACGTACGCGAGCATCCCCTCCCATCCTATCACGCAGGTGCACAGCCTTACCCCCCCTCCAATCCATGTCTAACCTAACCTATCATCACCCCCTAACATCACCCCCTCCCATACCATCAATGGCTATCACATACGTGCAATATTATACTATAAAATCTTATTAAATCCATACAAGCTGTATATTTATCTGTACAAATTACTAAAATATTATAAAACAATAATAAATATATAATATTGCATTAATTTAATAAAATTTATTAGAATAATAATAATGTAGAAACTCAACAAAACTTTATTTTTAAATACTTTTGAAATCGAATTCAAACTACCGAGTACTCTCTTTAATCTTTATTATCTACAATAATTTTTATCAATATCAATAATAATTTTTATCATATTTTTGAACGTATTTTATAACTATACAAAAATATATTGTAAAAGTTGTATAAATGTGTTGTATTTGTAAACACCGTATTAGTATTTAGTGCTAACATTTTTTTTTATTATGATTAAATATTTCAATATTTCCTAAATCATAATTGTAAATGTAAACCTGAGTATACGTTGTTATTGCGTATATAAAAATACTATAAATAAAATTAAAATTTGAATTGACAAATTGAATGGGAAGGGTGCTAATTAATTAAAAGTATAACAGATGAGATAAACTTTTGAATACATATAGTATGATATTATATTGCAATATATTATCCCATTGAACTTTTAAACTTAAACGTTAATATAATCATACATTATGTTAAATATTATTTAATTATCTGACTATGGGTACCTACATTTGAAAAAAATACTTTACATTTATGAAAATACGTTTGAAAATATAATATATATTATATTATATATTATTATTTATATTTATAATAATAATAAGTTGGCTTGAATGACTTTTGTCGTCAACTGTCTTAAGAAGTTATTTTCTCAAATATTTCAGTAAACAAACAACTATTGAACTATTATTTGAACAAATAATATACTATTTGAACATTATTTGTCATTAAGAAATTTGTCAAAAATGTACAAAGAGCATACCATAATAGTGGTAAATATTATACTATAGCCTAAAACTGATTTATAACTGAAAAAAT